TTAATCGCCCAGTCAAGGTACTTGTCTCGCATCGTGCCCCCACCATCCCCCCCCGTGTCCCCGCGCCGGACGGGCATTAACTACTTACCACGGTCGACTTCGCGACGTTATCAATATTGCAGCTTCCCATTCCCTTAATTTCATAAAGTTCGCGCGCTTTAGCGTGTACGCGGGCTATATCGGGGGCTCTTTAAAACTGCATTATCGTTTCCTCTCGGTCCGCTCCGATCTTAATTCCCGGGATCCGCGGACTATCTCGTAGGCGCCGCTGAACTTTCAAACACCGGCCCTTTATTAACTTTCTCGCTTTTTACCCCCTTGTCCCTTATCCCCGACCGCGCGCGCGTTCGGTTCTTAACCATCGACAAACTTTAGTGAGCTGTTACCAAAATCGATTTTCACTCTCGCGCTCGGGATATACAGATAAGACTTAATCCGTTTTAACGTAGCAATAACGTGAACGTTGGTACTCTCAATGTAGCTGCAATGCTGTATTGAAATATTATCGGAAGTCTTGGAAATGACGTTATTAGTTTTCTTCAAATCAAGAATAAGATGATTTATTGTAGACTTGAGAAATATATAGATAACAAGAATATTATATTACTTAGTTTCACCCGCATTTTCACAAAACTACATTCACTATTGCACAATAACATCACGACAGTGCAGCTCGCGATTATTCCGTGAAACGGAAACTATATGAAACTTGCGGCCAATATGGCGGCCCGTACATGTCGACTTATGCAGAACGTCGCGGATCAAATTTTCGCGAATTGAATTCGAAGAAAAGCTGCGACAGCTCTCGTGGCAGTTTCTGAATTAATTCGTCGCAACCGAACGCCAGAAGAGCGACACGGATGTCCAGCGAAGTAGCAATATGGCAGTACAGCTGGCCGATAAGTTTCCGTTATGGGTTGACCGGCCGCCCTTTTGAGGCCAGCTGCGTGCTTGTTCTAGGAGTTGGCGTCTAAATAGTCGCCAGGATGCCGACAGTTTCGCAAACTGAAGTTGGACGATAACGGCGGTCGTGGGCGACGGCAAAGCGCGGATGTCGCAGAGGGTAAGTTTCACCCCCTGAGAAAGAACACGGGATGACCAGCCGTACGTCCCGTCCCGCCGTCGTCGTCGCCAACTTGAATCAATCAAAGTGTCTCGCGTTCTCGCATATATCCGCGAGGCGAAGGAAGGTTCGCGTGTTTTCCATTCCACTTGCTCTCGGCACCGATTCGCCGGGTCACTCATCGGAAAAACTTTCGGCATTCCGAATCGTGCAATTTCCTATGCAACCAAAGCGAAACGTCATTCACTGATCCTCTGTCTCCGCGAAACGAGCGAGGAGACCAAATCTTGTCCGGGATTTAGCCAGTTCGTTTCGATCGAGCGGAAAATGCATTTCCGGAAAAGCGACTTTAGAATTGCAAGGGATTGAAACCAGTATAATTTCGGAGAATACAATTTTGAATGCCGCCACGTATTCGCGAAGGGAACCTTGTAAAATGGACAACGCGTCTCAATAATATCGATAAACAAAATGTGTTTGATAAATAAGTCAACATTATTTTACAGAAGTTTTATATAATTCATTGTATATGTTTTATTTATTATTAGAAAAATTATTGTAGATAACACAAATCGAATAATAGCTAATGTGGAATTTTTTCTTGTTAGAATTATAGCATCCAAAAGTTTAAAAAAAATTCATTATTATGAAAGATTTATATTTATATATAGGCAAAAGTATCAAAAACTGCCTATTTTCTATTGTTTAAAGAAATTCGGCGGTTGGAATTTTTATCTTAAAAGTTTCAATAAAAGAGATTTATTTAAAATCCTTTATTTTAAAAATCTTATATTTTATATGAGAGAAACTAAATAAAATGTTATGTTATACAGTCATTCTAACAATATGCAACAATAAAAAATATTAATATAATAATTTTAATAAAAATTCTGTAAAAAGCTTTATTGAAAATAAAAAATTTTAAAATTATTCCGCTGAATGATTAAAATTTCAAATTTAATTTTATTTACCTACCGTAATTTTGATGAAGAGCATTATTTATTCATATAAAAATTTCCTTTGTGAAGGAATATTTATTTAACCTGGAAAATATCTCTTTCCGTCTCTATCTAGTATTATTAAAAGACCAAAAAATCTCTCTATTATACGCGTGATGCGTAATGTTTATAACGCCAGTTCGTAAAATAAAATTCCAATAAAATTGGGATGCTTAATAATATAATCGATGATATTCCATACAAAATATTCTATCACCATTTCTATTAAATAATATAATACATTGAGGAAATCGATTTTGATTTGTCAAGAATGATGAATACCAAAACTGTATCGATTGCGGTGAATTAGCTTTGTCTCGGAGTCAAAAATCGCGACTAGGAAAAAGATTAGACGCAGGGTGAGAAGAGAATAAATAAAGGGGTCCCCGACCCCTTCCTCGGTTTTCGCTCCGAAAAATACCTGAGGGAGCAATGAATGGAAGAACGTATCTATGATACGAGTGGATACCTTTCAAAAGGACTCATGGGAGAATGAAGCTTATTCGTCATCCTGTCGGCCGATAGGTCGTACCACCATTGCGCCACCTTACACACCCCGGAGATCCTCGAGGGTGGATTCTTCCAATAACCAAAAAAATATATATATCGTCTATCCTCCGAAAGATATAAATTCACTATGAATGTGCTGGTAGTGAGTTCATAGGTTAGAGTAATAATGTATCCCATAAAAGAAACCCCTACTAATCTTCATCAATCAAATATTCATGTACAAATGTATTTTGCCAATGATTACTCGCTATTTCATCTCACGACGTCTTATAAATCGCTTGTAAATATATTCGTCCGCGAGAATAAAAAGACATTCTTTACTACAAAATCAATACAATAAAATTTATAAAATAATGCATCTCTTTGATCAAAGTACCTATACGTAGAAACAGAACTCTAAATAATCAATCGCGATTGTTTCTTCTTTCATTAATCCGCTATTTTTATTAAAATTTACCGTTTCCAGGCAAAGGGAATAAGGTAACTGTAGCGAAAAGTCGGAACTGGTCGCGAATACGCGGAATGCCGCTTCAGAAAGTAAATTGCTTGAATAATGGAAAAGAATCGCTTGAGCCAGGCTTACGCATCTCTCTGATCTCTTTCTCCCCTTTTCATCAAGGCTGCTAGCCAACAAAACCAACAAAACACTATCCTATCGCGTGTCACTCGCACGTGGCCAATCTCAATTGCACTATTCTCTTTCCACGATTTTATGCAACATGATTTTTCTCGAGTTCCTGACTTTATTGTAGTCTTATTAAAAATGCATTTTATAGTTTTTTTGAAAAATAAGTTTGCTATAAGAATATCTGAAGAATTACATCGTAATATTAAAAAAAAAGCAAAGGTTTATCATGCAAAAATTTGATTAATAAATTTTTTATATTTAAATCTACATGTTTCCCAACATTAATTCTCCATTTAACGCGTCACTCAATCTGTTACAAGATTTACACACACGTGAGAGTTCTCTCTATTTATCCGTCACCTCGAGAATCCTCTCGTGCAGCTTTCCTTGTGCCTGAAGCATCCACAATGAAAACGAGACGAAAGTCACGCTAAGAATCCGTCACTTGAGAGAAAAAAAAAGCAGAGGCACAACTATGGCAAAGCCGTGGGGAATAAGAAAGCTGAGAAGGAATCCTAAGACGTTCAGTTTATCACGTTGCCAGTTTAACAAAGCATTCTCGTTTAACGGAGATAACGTTCACCGCGCAGGAAAGAAATCGGAATTCGTGCGACAACTTGGCTCCTAACAAGGATGACTCTTCCGTGCCAAAGAATTCAGAGGGTTTCAATTTTCATCGCTAGTTTTACGAGACTGTAGATATTATTGTTAACAATACGCATATGCATTTAACAAACACATTTTTTAATCATGTTTTATCTCTTATCAAGCGTTTTAATAGGTGCTTTCCATTTACATCAAAACTCAGATAATTCTCACTTGTGACGTCGTTCTATCCTTTTTGGCAATTAATGAATAATAAAGACAGAATGACGCCACAAGTGAGAATTATCTGAGTTTTAATGTAAATGGAAAGCATCTAATATATTTCATGTATAATAATTTTACTATAATTATGCGTTTTCTAATTTTAACATAAAATCGCCCCAGATACTGTAAGATTTTTATTTTTTTTTTCTATAATAAAGATAGTAAAAATTTTATTTCACCGAAGCTGTTTTGTTAGCTTTATCAAATACTTGTATAAAATATCACGTTATGTTCTGCGAGTAATACGAGTTGCAAGATATGCATAAATCTTAGATACGATTGTTATCTCTTAAGCATATTGATCGGCGAATGCAGCCATAAGAAATCCGACTTTTCGATTTATTTTATGGGCCACTGCCCCTCGCATTGGCATTCTTCTCGAGAAGGTTGCAGCTCCAGAAAGAATTCGTTCTGAAGCTCAATCCGACTCGCGCAATAAGTGTCACTGACCTAACGTGCACGTACTATAAACCAGTCCTTCTGTTCCACTACTAACACGAAATTTAATTCGAAAAACAACTCGACAGATACATAACAAACTCTCAGTTCGTTCTACTTTAATTTTAAGGAAACAGCAACAATAAACAAGATTCGAAGTACTCTCTTTCTTTCTCTTCCGAATGGCTCGTCCAAATAATTTATCAGGATCATAATCATTGCGAAAAAAATAATTTATAAGAGGAGTTATGTAATAATATGTACATTATTACTCTCGAATGAATCCCGGTGAATCTCTGCGAGTCCATGTAATCCGGATTAGTCGGTTTATCGCAAGAATATTCGAGAGTTGCATCGGAATGTTTTTCGACGTTAACGCGAAGTCTGAGATTCTCCAAAGTATTTTAATCCGCGGTGCCTCGATGCCATTATCGTGAGAGCGGGCATCCGCGAGTATCGAAACTATTTAACGTTGCACTGTGAAACTTTGCAGAGTGTCGTGCTGGAGATGAATCGACTTGGGATGATGGTGGACCTCTCTCATGTCTCGGTGCCCACGATGCTGGCCGCCATGACGACGTCGAGGGCACCGGTGATTTTCAGTCACAGCAGCGCTCACGCTCTTTGCAATTCCTCGCGAAATGTGCCTGACCACGCGTTGCGACTTTTGGTAAGCTCGTCGACGACGAAGCAGTGAAAGATAACGAGCACGTGTTACGCATTAATTCAAAGCATGTATTACGCGATGACCTAGCTCCGAATAAATTGCCTCGTAATTATACACTATTAAATATTAAAGGATGAAATGTAAACCAAATACCTCGAATTATATAACGAATTTTATTACTTTTAATTGCCATGTGTGTGTCAAAATTTATCATTTTAACATAAAACAGTATTATTTTAACTCCTTTAGTATATATAGTTAAATTAACATTGTTTTGGCCAAATTAACGAGGAACAATGGCGATCTACAGAAATGGTTAAAAATGACTTAAATTGAGTATAATTTAGCACTACGAATTTAACAGTGTATAAGCACTCAATTTTCAAATTGATAAATAATTTCTTTTATATTTTATCTAATCCATTACGCTAATTGTAAGAGGAATATGAATACTTTATTTACAGGCGCAGACCGGTGGTATAGTTATGGTATCCTTCTACCCCCATTTTATCAGCTGTGGCGAAAAATCGACGCTCGAAGATGTGGCAGGTGAGCTGTGATATTTATTGTTTCATTTTGATTATTAATAGCTATGTGATCGCGAAACCTGTACCGATAAAAAGGGATGTTACACCATCGGTTTGTTTGCCCCTCGCAATGTATTAAATAAAATTTCATGAAATCCAATCAACTGTAAATGTTTGTGTGGATTTAAAAGCTCGATATTTCTCTACCAAAATATGTGATTATTTTTTAAACAACATGTATGCACACGTAATACAATTCAATATTTGATAAAATCAGCTATTTTCCGCATTATATTTCCATATTTTTCCAGAATATGTAAGAAACAAATATAACATTAATTAAAATGGCATATGTTTTTCGCAAATGTCTTTTTCAATAATATAGCATTGCTCCGACGTGCTTTCATTTTTCGTATCTTTAAGCACGATAATCGTTATTCTTCGCTGTTCCAAGATAACTAATTGAGAGGGAAACAAAAATCGTGTGCAATTAGTCCATTCTTTTTTCGACTGACGTACCTTCCGCAACTGAGCGGCTTTTAACGTCGCCGTTAACGTTGCAAAGAGAATATTCGAAGCGTTTCTCTGCTGAAGCGAGCAAATGAGTTTTCACGTTAGGTGCCAATTCCCACGGGTTGCTATCATATTTGCATTATTATAGAGCGGCTCAAAGTTCCGAAGACATTAACATTTCATACCGCGCCGGTAATATAAACAGCTATATATGTATATTCTTGATACAATTAGATATATACGAATCATGGGAATAGGATTTAATCTAGAATGTAGTTTGGAAAAACACTATGTGAGATTAAATTGAAATAAAAAATATTTCTCGCTTGAAATGCAAATTAATTATTAATTATTAAATATTAATTGAAGAAAGAAAAATGATTAATTTAGACAGCCTGGAAAAAATAAAATTTTGTTGCAAGGTGATATAACTTTTCCAATAGTATTAGTACGGTATAGTGTGCTGCATTTTATAAAGTTAACTGTATACCCTTCCGCACCGAACGAGATCGATCGCGAAACCGAAGCCATCATGTATAGGGCGAAACCGTAATCTAAAGTTCACACTTTTTGCGGCGAAACCGCGGTTCAAAGTGCATCCTGCGAAGACCGAGTGTTTCTACAGGCAAACGTGATAAAAAAGCGAAACGTTCGTGACATGGGAGCAACCAATTCCATTTGCGGTATTGTCAAACTATGTAAATTTTTGTAGACACAAAAATGAATCCTGATCTATAAAGCAAATCGTTATCGTTCGCTCTCGTCTCTGTAGAAGCGGTAGAATAATTAAAAGTTATCTGTAATTCATAATCCCCATGTAGATAATAAACGCGAGATAATAAATTCTTTAATTTTGTCCATTTTTCGTCCGCTAATCTCCGGGATCTCGCGTGCAAAAACAGTCTCGACTCAGAACCGCAGAAAATTTGTAGTTTTCCTAGAATCGTGATAATCTCCATGTCGCCATTACCCAGTGTTTCCACGTGCTTTCTACAAAAATAAGCGGATACGATGTACAGTAATGTTGCCTTGCGGCATAGAATTTTGGCTCGATACGATTGTAAATTTTACGGTATCGCGCGCGACAATGAAAAATCAGTCATTGCAGCACGTGCATCTCGGATAATGCGTCGCGACCGTGTAACAAAAGAAAGAACAAGTAATAATTGCTGGTCCAGATGGCCGCGCATCGGACGTAGCGTAATCGGACGTAGCCGGGTGCCTGAATAATCGCTTCCTTCCGCAGGCAGCATCTCTAATTGTTTTACATCGATGGTTACCGAGCCGCGGAGAAAATTATGTCCGCCGGGGGAGAGCGGGAAGAAAATTTTTTGAAACGGGAATTGTAAAACGGGAAATGCGTTATTAAATAGCGGGCGCGCAATGATAATTTCAGTATTATAACGCGTTTCTCTCTCCTCTCTCTCTCTCTCTCTCTCTCTCTCTCTCTCTCTCTCTCTTTGCCCGTGGCCATTGGCGCCAGTATTACGCCGATGATTGATTCGAGCGCGCTTTCGCCACACATTCGCCCTTTTCCCTCGCCCTATCCCACTGCGCTTTCCAACAAAGCTGATCCCATGGTGACCACCGCGTCACGCGCGCAACAATCGCCCCGAGTTAATAATAACAGCGCGAGTCGCGCTATCGCAGCTCGCAATTCCCCGCATTACGTTTGCCGAATAACTCCTTCTTTGTTTACCGCGTGAACGCAATTTTCTCCATTTGAGCTCTGTCGATGAAACCGCGACCGAAAAGCATATCCGTCTTCGCCGACGTACACGTATGTCACAGATGTTGCGGAAATTATTTTCGATCCGCGTGCTGTTTAAACCCTTTGCACTCCGGCGTTCAACATCGCATTCGCAATCGAGCCTCTAAATTACATTCAACAGGCTTCACACACATACGCGTCGTATTCTCTTTTGATCCATTGGCAAAACAATCATAAATTTTAAATTACAATAGGATTGATTTTCTTCGTGCTAGAATATACGCCGCGGATTCGTCACACAACACAACTCACTGGAATACGTTCCGTTATATAGCAACTCGTCGTTTACGCAACGCTGTTTCTTCATTCCCACTTTGTAGGACTTTGTATATTCTGCGCGTGTTTCGCATACGGAGCATTAAAATGCACTACATCCCGAGAGACATTTGCACGTTATTCTACCCAAACAAACGTCAACCGCGCTGTTTACGTCGTACATGCAAATCGAAAGATCTCGCAGCAACGTGCTAATGGCACAACCGTCACGACTCACGAGATGCAATGCAAATGCAACCTCCTCCGTTTATGGCAACATTCAGCAGTCATGCGACAAAGTCACTCGCGTCCCTTAACGGAAACACTTTACTCTCTACGCAAATAGTTTTCATCTTTTGTTTTTTCATTTCCTTTCGCAATCAATACTGCGCTGCGATACGAATAATTATCTACCTTCGATATAAATACAGAAATAATTTTTCTCAAATTACCTACGTGTAAAATCTCGTTAAAAGCAGAATTTCCGATCAGCCAGGCCGTCCGCTCATCTCCTTACTCACCATAACGTGATTTTCTATAGCCGCGCTTGGCAACGACGTGCCCCGTTGAATCGTGATCAATTTTGAAAGACCGCACCGAGCCGGCCGACATATAATTTACGATATAATGGAGATAACGCGGGAGCAACACGGCGCAAATATGAAAATCGAAATTTGTGACGTTTCTGATATGTTGTTCCGCATCGCGCGGCAACTCGAGCCCGAACAAAATTGCGGTGCAATGAGGCGCGCCATTATTCTACAGTCTGATCGGCTATGAATTATGTCATTTAGCCGATCGATTATGCATGTCGTGTCTGCGTGATTGACGTGCCGTTATCCATTATGTGCACTAAGCTTTGTAAATGCATTAACGTTCATTAGACAGGCACTTTTCTTGTTGATTTTTCGACGCCAATAATACGTCGCGAAGAAGAAAATAGCTAACGACGATCGGTAGTCGATGGCTGACGCGTATTATATTCCACAAAGTTAAAGAGTAAAGTTAAAGAGAGAAAAAATCGAGCGTTACGTTTTCACGTGAAAATGATCGACGATGTTGTTTACAGAGATCAATCTAAAGTTAATTGCATCGCGGTATCGATCAACTGCGGTTGTTTAAATTAAAAATATACAAAATAAATACAGAAATAATATTTTAATTAATTCATTTAATACAAAATAATCCGCTTGCATCACTCAAAATACCTATCACTTAAAATGTTAAAATATAAATATTATCCCCTGTAATAATTCACGATGCAACAAGCGATTGAATTTATTCAATTAGCCGAAGATTGAAATTCGTTCATATAATTCTGATAAGTACGTGAAATTGTCTTTTGGATTTTGCATTGCTGCGGATTGTAAATTATATATCGTGATGTATCACGTTACCGAGGTGTAAATTATATCCGTGAGCGCGTGCGTAACCATTTCCGAGTTAACAATAACATCCGTCTGACGGATATGCAAATTTTCATTGTTTATGCGCACGTTCATGATCTCATTGTACCTATCCAAATTATTGTTCGATTTTATCCATCTTCGGCGGGGGAGGAGACACACTTTGAAACTTGCCTATTCATGGGAGAATTGCATTTACAGATACGATTGCCGGCAATAAATAGAACGTAATCCGTCTACCTTCCGGTTATCTCGACTGGAAGATTAATACGCTTCCGCGAACCTTTTCCTTTTGGTTTTTTACGATTCGCGCGACCGCGCTAATTGCAAATGAATTTACCGTCCCTTTCGATTTTATAAATCAAATAATAAATAGGAAGACGAGTCCGCGCAGCGTTAACGGATTACTTCTAAGTTATTCAATTCGCGAGCGCAATATTCTCTTCTATTAAAAGTAGGAATTAATTATGCGCATCGTGCAGTATTCTGTTAGCAATTATGACTAACTACATAGGGGACGCAAACGCGACTGCAGTGGTCGTACGACGTTATACGTCAAATGTGTGTGCAAAAAAAATATGCGTTGTGCTGGCGGACAACAATGGAAACGGAGGAAATAATACATAATATAAGTGTAGGTAATTTTCTTTGCGGCTCTCGGAGAGTAGTAACTCACCGTGTTATTAGTCGCTGTTGAAAAATCGTCCGCACTGCATTCGCACAGGCAGTCCGAGCTTGCAGGCCAGCCCGCGGTTAGGGTGGCGAATGTAATTTTCCTCGTTATATGGCAAATGAGCTATACGGGTTCTGTATATCGTGGTACGCTAAGCGCAGCGGTCATTACTACGATTGCGTAATACATGCAATTTTCGTGATATGTTACAGCACACATCAATCACGTGCGGAAGATAGCCGGGGTGGATCACGTCGGCATCGGGGCTGGATACGACGGGATCAATTTGTAAGTGCGACGTATTCGCAATAGCGTGAATGTAATTGTATGTCAAACGCGGCAGATATACCAGGAGGAAATATCTCGTCGAATGCCATAATTAGTTACAGATGGAATGGCACACGATCGATTAAAAGGATCGGCGGATATAAATCCGGTTGTTTCGACAATAAAAAGTACTTTAATTTCAAGCAGCGGTTGCATTCGTTCGCATTAACGATACGACTTTCCTGCCGAGCGAAAACAATGCAAATTCGTAAGCGCGTACCAGTTCCGCCGAACTGATTGCGAACCAGCACATGCAAGCGTAGAGAAGTTTTCGGTTACCGTTGTATGTAGTACAGGGTATAGATCAATACGTACAGAGCTACCGATCACTTGCGGTGCTCAGAGACAGTTGAAGTCCCTTCCCAAAATTTATGAGAGGAGATTACTGGGTTCGATTTCGGATGACCATCAAAACGCTCGGTTCGATACATCTCGCTTATAACCCAAGAGTAGGATTGAAACGGAAGGTAAATAATATACGATGGGAATACGTTTAGTTGCGAGGCGACTTCATGAATATTATTTGAAACCTATCGATTCTCCACAAGAGAATCTATCGCACGAATGCATTTTTAAAGAACCCCATACATAAAATTGGTCTCGCGAAATACCGGATAATATTCAACCGTTTGTTAAAGAACAACCAATATTATTTCGTTCTATTATTCGCGCCTTTGTTATGCTTTCCATGCGGTTTGTTCAGCACGGAAACGACGCGCGGAGCTCTTCTTTGCCCGCGATAACTCGATATATATAGAATCTGCTAAGTAGACGTGGGAATCGGCTAGAAGGTATAAACATATGAACACATCGACCAACCCTTTTTGTTAAAAACGTCGACCCTTTGTGTCGCGTTACTAAAATTGCGGCCCCCAGCATTAAGGGGCACAACTAGTGTGACACTTTTGAAAAATCGATTTTTTTTTTTTTGCATTTTTCGATAGTCTATAGCTTCAAGAATAACATATTAAAATTTTAAGAATGGATCTCAAATAGTTTTTGAACGGCAGCCTTCTAAAGAGTAGCTGCTCGTCGGTCAGAAACGTGCATAAGCTTCGAAAGAGGGTTGATTAGCTCGAAGGAAAGCTTCAGCAACCCAGGAGGTACTTTCTTGAGGAAGAAGAAGGTGAATTATATGGGCCTGGAATAGCAGATTAGCTGTAAATATGATATTTCTCAATCAAACAATGAAATCAATATTTTTATCTAAACGCGTTTTTCTCAAAACGACATTTTTCAAATTTGCTGCAGTTCTAACTCGAATACAAATCATCCGATCGACTTGAATTTTTTTGGAGCGTGTTTAGTATTTGTTTTTCTATACAATGACCTACCCGTTTTTTTTTTGGATGAAAAATGTCAATTTGCCATGCAAAAAACCGCGCGATTTTTAAGCGTAATTTTGAACTTTTTTTTTAAAACTCCGCCATTTTGTTGGATTTTAATTTTTTTTCATAATCCTAGGTCATTGTACGGGAAATACCTTCTAGTTGAACGGACATTTTTTTTTTTTTTATTTCAAGCACTCTGAAGGCCGCAATCACTGCAGCAGTGGGAGCACGTTTTTTTTTTAGAGACTCGGGAGATGACACATAAGTCGCTGAAAATTGATTATTTTCATACAAAAAAATTACTGCACATAGATCATTTATACACAAATATATTCTCAAAATTTTAAAACATTCGATGCAATACTTTTCTTTTAATAAATTCCCGAAAATCACCTTTTTTTTGGGCAGTCACACTAGTTGTGCCCCTTAAGCTTAGTGAAAAAATTGACAGAGTATGAAAAAGAGAAAGAGAAGGAGGGAAAAAGAGAATGAAAGAGAGCAGGTAGAAGGAGAGACAGAGAGAAACAGCTCTAACCGCGAGTAAATTGAAGGTAAGGGGATAACTAAAAAGTTGTTGAGTTTCCGGGATCCGCATGAAAAACACAGATGGCCGCGTCTGGTGTATATGATACAGGATTGAAAAACAGTATGGATGCATTGAAGCGTGATTTGCAGACCAAACGATAAAGAAGAAAAACGACGCGCGTAAAAGATACGCCGCTGATCGAACCGTCGCGATATACGGTTTTTCTGTATTTTCATCGGGCGACAATATCGAATACAAATGCAGGGAATCGGGAAAATAAACATGTAGCCAGTTATTATATACGTCGGTACAGCGAATTATTAATGTTTATAAACATTTTCATTTTCCTTTTTTCTTTAGGAAAAAAAATAAATTCAAATTTAAAAGCTAAATAATCAAATCTGGGGTGCTAATTTCCGATAAGAATACAACTATCAAAAGTATCAAACACGTGCTTCCATTTATTTTTCACAAATAAATAAATGTAGTCAAACTCAGAGAAAAACCACAAAACAAACAACGAAAATTAATAAATGAACATACCGATCATGAATTATAAATTATATTATTGATAGATTGGAAATCATATTAAATATACAGAATTGTTTTATACATTATTTCTAGTTTTTTCGTAGAAGTATTCAATTATCGCGGCTCCAAAATAAAAATAGGAGTATATATATCTCGATATCGAATTTAAAATCAACAAAACATATAAATTTCACATATAAATTAATATAACTGAATTTCCAATAGTAAGTATTGATGGATTTTTACCACATGAGAATATATTTATAAAAAAAACAATGTGGAAGAGAGAGAGAGATGAATTATGATCGTAATTAAAATCACACTCGACTAACAAGAATATTGAAGACTAAAATCTACTAAACTTTACTAATTTTTATTAAGTTTACTAAGTTTTATTGAATTTGTTGTCGGAGAGAAGCGCACAAAAATTTTCAATATTTCCAATGCTTTTAAATCTTCAATTGATATTGTACTACCGTTTAAAACTTATCAATTTTAAACGCAAAAACAATCCACACGTTCCATATTGTTTCATTTAAATTCAATTTTTATTTGCGGTAAGAGCGTTGGACAGATAAAAATTTTATTAAAGTGGTTTTTTCACATCCAATCATCGTAAATTAAAATTGATAACGCAAACATTGTATCAGGCACAATGCGCGACGCTGCGTCAGTCATTTATTTTATTACATCATCCGCGTAAAGATTGTTCTTTCGTTCCCATTCTTAAAGATTTCGCAGCTTCTTCACGAAGTAAAGTCTGAGATTTCTGAATGCGACAATTTCGAGAAGAACGACGCGAATGACAAGGATGCACTTTAGTGGCGTTATACGAATGAAAAAGATGTCGCACTGGAATGAAAACAATGCTCGTTTCCTCCGCACCCAGTTTCCAGCTTCTCGCGTTACGAAAGAAAGGTGTTTTAATATCTGCCACGGACATTCAAGGTTTAAAGTTACGCCACTCGTGTTAGAAAAAAATTTGAAACAGCTACCAAACTTCCAACATATTTGCGCTCGGTTGGAGAACGCCGCTTAAAACAGCAAGGATGTTCACAGAAACTCGAGAAGAAGGAGAAAAGCACTAGTCTGTTATTCACATACAATATACATACACTATAGTCTTTCTTTCAAGCCTTTCGCAACGAGCGTATATTGGAACTGAAAACTAACAATATTGATGGTATATAATATCTTCTCTCGCGAGCATGCGAAAAGTAATCGATCAAATTTTTTAGGGAGGAGAGGCGCATTTTATCCGCCGGGGGGACTTTTATATGAATTCGCGGCGAATTCGTGGCAAATAAATTCGATAACGTGTGCTTTCATTGCTGACAAAAACCGTTCTCTCGCAAGTATATTTAATTTCGGAGATAAAACGATGTTATTTCCGTGTCAGAGGGATCACGTACGGCGAATCGTACGGTGAAGCGTTTCAGCTAACATTCGTGGTCGAAATTTCAACGTATTAATCGCAATAGGCGAATATCAGTAGAAATAGATTACTATAAAACATTTTTCTGGAAAATCCATTTGCCGTCATATCGTATCAGAATTTGCATAAATTTTCATAATTTTTAATAAACATTTTCTCATGTGCAACTGCAATGATATAAAAAATTCGATATTTGCATTTCTCGAAGCCGGAGTAAAATCTTCAAAATCGACAAGTTCTAAAAATCTTCGGGAATATATCCATAGACGTGAAAAAAATAAATAAATCTTTCGAAAAGTCTTGTCAACCTATAATTATAAACTCAACAAGAGTAGTCGCAGTAACGATCAACAGTAGCAATAAACAATTCAAGGAGGATGCACGTTTGCCAATGGCAAATTTGCACATCAGCTATTTGCCAAATTAATCAGCAATTTGTCCCGCGGAAAGGAAATTACGCGGTCCTCGAATTTCATGCAGAAACCGTGCCGACAACTGCATTAGAAACAGTCATGCCTGAATCCACGACAGAAACGCCGCGTTCTTAATTGCACGTTAAATTAACTCACCGGTTGACAGCGCGTGGTTAAAATTTCAACGAGCTAATCGGGGGAACCGTTCCGCAGGGAAACCCTCGATTCGCCGGCTAGTGGCTCATTGCCTCCACGTAGGAAATTGGTCCGAAATACACGAAAGCCGAAAGCACGACGCTATTTATTCTTCGGCGATCAATGCGTTTATTGCTACGCCCGTTGCATTTCCACTTCGTCAGCCGTTTCAGTTCGTGAATTTTACCATGTCCACATTGCGACACGGCTACAAATAACTCCATTGAAGCAAATAACGAAATAATATATAATACCCGGTCGACAAACTCACGCTGTGTTGCCTGAAAATCGAATCGACTATAATCTGCGACTATTATGATATGCGAATTCTAAAAACGATATCAGTTTTTCATAAGCTTCCTTCATCAATAACCTTTATTTTTATTTGACCAAGCAAAACGAGTTAGAAAAAACATTCTTCGAATTATCAATATTATTATAATAATAAGATAATATATATTAAATATATTATCGCAACATTATATAATAATTTCAAATCAAGCAAAGGCTCTTTTATTGCAAAAGTTCTGGGGATTCCAACCAAAGTGCAGTTATATGTCTTCCATTTAATATCTAGAAAAAATACTGACAATGGCGTAGCCAAGAGGGACGAAAGTCATCGTTTTCGTCTGAATAAACTGTTAAAATTTCAGTCAGTTAATCGTAGAAAGTATCCGTCTCATCGGTTATACAAACCGGTAGTTCTCATATGAAAGCGAGAAGCGACGGGAATATTCGTACGAGATGGGTCGGAAAAAGCGTTGGAGGATGTGTTTAATTATTTCTAAAGGTGGAAAGAGGGAGAGTGGGTCACGCGCGGAGATAGACGACGAGACGCGCAGGAAGTACGGGGGCGAAGAGGTTAAAACTGGCAGGACGTGGGGCTGCTGATAGTCCTGCCGGCCCCAATAAGCTTTTACGCCAGATTAAAATTCATATCGGCGCCTTCAACGGCCGGTTACAGCATCCAAGTATAGTATCCAAGAGCCAAGAGTAGCCGCTTATATGGACGATCAAAGAGTTAGCGCATCGCGCATATCGTTAGGATAAAGATGATGTGTCAAATCTAAAGTTCTAAAGCGAAAAGAGAGTATATATAGAGACTTGAGAGAAGGTTTTTTTCAAATTACAAATAAATTTCCTTTCTAACTTGAGAAACTAACTGCTTTTTTCACAAATTATTAGATGCAAATAGATAATAAATTTGATTATCTGCTTAATTTCAATCGGCCTTCATTTTAATGGAATCTCAATGCAATGTTCAATTAACATAAAAAATTAAAAATGCATAGAAACATTTGTTGCTGAAGAATAGTTTACTTGGAAGTCACAGAGAATTGCAGATATAAAATTGTGCAGCATCCTATGCCTGCGATAGCAAAAGGTAAATGTTACGTCCAAAGTCTTATCGTCCTTTAACATCCAAGTCACGATCGCGAAAAAGGACGAAGCGATCGTCGATGGACACTTCCTGCCTCGGGTTTTCTCGGGGGAACCGAGAATCCGCGTGTCGTTCCTTTCGCGGAACGATCCACCGGGCTTCGTGCTTTTCATCCCCGTCCATAAATCACTGTCACTAGGGTTGAGCGAAACGTATTTTCCCGCGGAAACGGCATTTTTGAATTCGATTCGGTCGCACCGACGGGCAAATAGACGAGATACGAGCAAGACGGGCAAAAAGTAAAAAAGCGAGCCTCGCGCCCGAGAAAGGCGAATCGATCCCCGCTAACCGCGTTGTCGTTGTTCGATGGCGTACTTTTACGCGCTCCGCGTTGCGCGGACATACATTTTTACTACGGATTTAGCCCGCATAAATTCGCCGCCAGGTATCTCGTCGCGCGCGGCGAGAAGTATTCGCGCGGCGGAGAGAAGCGGTCGCGCACGCTCTTTCGGTCTCAATCGGTCTCTCGACAAAGAGACGGCGGACAGGATTGGAAATTTCGCGAATTGGAACAACGTTTGTGACCATGCTGGTCAGTCAACAGCTCTCTACAGCGGCACCCCGGATCCTCGGACCGTCACGTTTTGGAACCGGCTAACATCCACGAGTCACGACGAACGGTCGTGGCATTTGCGACAGGTCAATATTTTCATCAATGCACAATCGCCCGAAGCACAACTATTTATTTGTAACTGTGGTTACACAACAAATTCCACGTATACCGTTCATTCTCTATATGTACAGTGTACATATGAGTAATTTATGACTATATATACATAATCTTACTTTCTTAATCATCATTAGTTTTCATCATCTTGATAGTCAAATTTTATTTTATATATATATATATAATTCTATATGTATATAAAATTGTATATAAAATTCTACCCGTTAGTAAACAACAGTGTAAAAATATAGCGCGATCCAGTTACATTGAATATTGTACCCTTTGGGGATGCGGTGTCTATTTGTTTTCCCGATCATGGACGAAAGAAATCAAAGTGCTGGGCAAAAAGTTTTGCACTTTTAATAACTTTTAAATAAAACATTTTTTATCTGTGCTTCACGAAGCTCTAGGGAATCTGTAAGTAAGCTTTATTAACTATGCTAAAAAGTACAGCTTAAAATGAGTTCATATATATACACATGTCGAATATATGCATAAACTGAATATTCGTAGATTTTTTGAAAATTACTTTTTATTTCGAAGGAATTTATGCTCCAGAAAATAAATAAAATAATAATTGCTATTTTTAGATAAATATTATCAAAATCATATCTCGCGCCTACAATTATTTCCAAAGGGCCATCAACATCGTAAATCAAAATCGAATATTATTATTGGCGTTCATAAGCGCATTGTTCTCGGATCGCGTGCGATCATCTCGCGTTTACAGTCAGTGCATGATGATGGACATACTCGATTTGGAAATTTCCGAAATTGGAATAACGACCCTCTGGATGCGGTCGGCCGATGCGTACAATATACAGTTGCATAACTGCCAGTTTCAGCCGGGGACACGACGCGCCATGAATAAGTCTCTAACCGCTCTTGTTGGCCCGACATTGTCAGCCGAGCAGCTTTCGACAGCTCATCCCCCTGCTTTCCGACCCCCGCACTGTTGTTGGGTCTTCTACGAGCTCTCGTTATAACGCCCGTAATGAGAATGTCGAAATTCAGTCTAACCCCTTTTATCGGCCCGTCCACGCTCGCCGTCAGTAACGCGAGGCGATTCAATGTATTATATCTTCGTGGCACGAGAGAGGTATATCGATTGCGCTCGTTCGCATAACGATTCCGGAGATAAATTAACGGAACTGTAGCCTCGATGCTAGCCGAACATGACTGCTTCAGTAAATATATGTATAAACGCAGACGAGCCGATACTCTCGAATCGCGAATTCGAGGTTCGAGAAGATATGATCTTGTCTTTGCTAAGAATAAAATTTAAATTGATGACTCTCTGATGCAATTGTAATTCAGACAATTTGTAAAATGATCTCGACAATCCTTAATGCTTTTCGGATGTACAAGGTGCCCCGAGAAAGATAGGACATTTTTGAGCTTCGAGATAATAGCTCTCTTTGTTAAAAAAAAACCCGTAACTTCCTTTTCTGTGATTTAAAAAAATATTTTTCCGCAGAGTATATTATTCTCCGCGATAGCGTTAAATCGGGTCAAGTGAATTTTGGTCTCGTAGCGCATTTTCGCCCTCGGCTTATAAGCGAGGATCGCATAAGGTAGGAAGGCGGACCCGCTTTCTCGGCGTGCCTCTCTCAGCACAGTAAAGTAAGTTCGCCGCAGTCACCCGGCGTACTGGTAATTAAAGTAATGAAGGATAAACCGCCCGAAGTAACTCGTGTAATTTATCCGTGACTGCTTCCCGACTAGCTCATTATTGTACTTTGTGACCTTCCTCCGCACGAATTTACCTCTGCCCCTTCCGCCTGACGCGCAAAACGTACGTCCAATTTTTTACAGCTGCGATAGTCTGCAAATAATTGTTTTGTACGAAATTGGTTTATATACGGTCGAAGGAGAGCGGGAGCATAACACAACGGTTGAAAGCGTTACTCTCGTATCGGGGAAACGCGAAGAGACAACCCGGCCGCGTTTCGCAAAATAATTCAAACTAAACATTTGTTCACGGGAGAGAAATATGTCCGAGATAATATACGGGGAAGAATTTGAATAAATAATATTTAATCAATAATAAACACGAGTGGTTTGGTTTAGCATTATTATTTCAACGCCTTTCATGAAAGAGCTTACTGGTGACGCTTACTCCTCTCTCGACAAAGAGACACTCTCTCCGGAGAATAGCGTAATAAAAGCTGCATCATTAATCTCGCGCACGCACATATTAATTTACTTTTTCAATTCGCGCCGCTTGCATGCATAATAGACGAGAGCTTTTTATAATGTGATCGCGTTAAGGTCGTACCTATATACACACTGAATAATTCAAGCGGACGGAAATATAATTCACCAAGTCGCGGTGCAATAGATAGAAGAATCGCACGTGTCGTAAAATTACCGCGGTAATACGCGCAGTCCTTTTATAGGTGGACCCATAAAAGTTTCAAGCAGTTTTCTAATTTAAACCCCCGATGCTTTCTGCTTCATTAAAGCCCTATCTTATCGAGCGGAAATATTCATGTAAATTGTGGCCTTGGTGCGCACCGTACGTTCACAAGCTGGCGCTCCACGGGACGGACATTATTTCCATATCGACTTTTATGGCGCGCACGGCGACGAAAATTTATCGCAGCGCGAGAGCGCAGTGTTTTAAAACAATATTTTCGCGGGGATGAAGAGAGACGAAATCATTTTCGTCCCTGTTCGCGGCTCCATCGGATGCGACTCTAAATGTTGACAAGTTGCCAGCTGTCATTTCACCACAGCAACAAAACTTCGTTTTCTATGACTTTTTCACATTCTTTTTCAAGAAAAAGAATGAATTCTTTTATCAAACTAGTGTGATTAATTTATTAGATTGAAAAGAATGTAATGCTATTTTCAAACATTAAAGTAGACGTATCAAAAGTTTGTCTGTAAAACTCCTATAGACTCAATAAAAATATTGAAAAATTTTTTATTTCTTCCAACTTAATGTTAGCAACGTGAATCCCGATAAAATATAATTACACATTTTGTTTTATAATTACATCTCCGAATATATCTTTAACGTCCTGAGCGTTCGAAATTTTCACGCCTTAAAAGAAGACGCAGCTCGATTTTTATGACATTTCTATTCTAATCGATCATTTCGCGGTCTCATCTGCGAGTCTCAATAAAGTCTCATCATAAATTCTTTGCCTCAGGACACCAACGGGTCTGGAGGACGTCAGCAAGTACCCGGAGCTCTTCGCGGAATTGCTAGCGCGTGGATGGTCAGAGAAAGACATTCAGAAGTTGGCTGGTCTGAATCTTATACGGGTGTTCAAGGCGGTGGAGCAGGTAAATTATTCTCTAGTCAAAGAGGGAAAAAGAGAAGAGAATCATCTCTCTCAGGTTCAACTTCTCGCATCGCTTGATGAAAAGAGTGGACGCGTGTCGAAAGTGGAAAAGTCGCATCAATAAAAGGAGGACAGAAAAGAGAGAAAGAAAGAGAGAGAGAACATAGGAGAGTGCTCGTTTCTACCATGAAATAACCGATGGCCTGGTTCGGGTTAGCCGAGTCGACCAATATCGGATTTAATAAAGCACACAAATCATGCATCCGGCCTGCGCGCTGCATCGTCGGACGAGAGAGAAGCCGCTCGGGCAGACCGTGATTTTTGTTCCCTTGGAGTGCTGCCAGTCGTAAAACCAGCTGGCACCATCCGCCAGCCCGTCCGATGGGCCCCTTTCTCTCTTTCTCTCTTTATCTTATTCACGCTTATGACGTACAGCCACGACTACATGTGACGTGTGTATTAAAGCTCTGAAGTATCGTTCAGCATCGTTCAACACTGACGTTTCATAATATGAGTACACTTCACGAAAGATAAGCTCGAACGTTCGAGAGAGGATCGTTGCATCTGGAACCCTCTTTCGCTCGTCAACGTTAATTAAAACTCAACGCGGCGCTATTACGTATAAAGTTACGAGAGCCGCAATTGTTCTCCGTTTAACAAAAAGGAGAAGTAATTAATAATAACTTTTTATTGTCTAGTTTTCTATCGAAATAATGATGAAGGAGAATATCGACACAAACGTTGCCGAGCATTAAAGTTGCGGTGTCTAAAGGATTAAAAACGATTAAATAAAACGATAAACTTCTTTGTTCATTCATTTGTAACATTGTGTCGATATTTGTTAATGAGAAGCATATCCGTTAAAAATTCAACTCATTATCCCCCAATGGTTAATTAAAATTGAATTAAACTTGCTCTAATTTAATTCGGCTTCTACACTTTGGCCACTCGGATCGATTAATGTCTCGTATATTTCAATGTTAAATGCCCAGTTTCGCGAAGTGCAGTCGAATGCAGATCGTCCTACTAGAATTCCGGCGCACCTGAAAATGTTTCAGTTCTGATATTACCCGGTGGTACACGCCCCGACAGGAATGATGTGAGAAATTATGTGCGCCGGATGTTCCGGATGTTTGAGGACGCTCAGGATGGCCGTTGTTGAAATTACTGTGATAATTTAATTGCGGTGCGGTGTGGTCAACGGAACCGCGGGTTATTCGTCCAAAGCAGGAGTCGTTTATTATATTTAGAGAAGAATGTGTGTTATACCTGTATATATCTGTATATACATATATTCGAATCGTAATGTAATAAACGCGCCGCGGTGAATTACGCGTAAAAGCGTAAATTTTGCATTCGCGTGGCAATTCTCGAGCGTCGGTTTCCGTAAGAACAAAGATATAGCGCGACCGCGCGCGATCGCACGCTGGCTAACGAATAGCGGGGGAATTAAAATTATCCTCTGAATTCTTCGATGATTTATTATCGCGTCGCGAAAAAATGTGTCGCGCTCGCGACTTTGAGGGACGCGCGCGAGAAAGCCGCGGGACGTTAACCCGCGCGGTACAATGAAAGCCTAATGGACGCGTATTACAAGTAAGCGCGTCTCTCGCCGCGCCGCGCCGTTTTAAATTATTCCAATCTAACTCGGCGGATGCAATTTTCCAGATCCGGTCGCGGAGAATATTATTTGATTATCGGAATATGAAAATTGTAATTTGTAGCGCGAGTCACGTGGAATTTCCGCGCTTATGAGTTTCTTCCGGCTGGGAGACGGCAACTTGCCATTAATTCTCGATGTGCAAATTCGCGAAGAAGTCGTATCTTCTTACGCGCACGCACACACACACACACACATACACATGCGCATTTGCGCCTTCACTCTTCTCATCGCGATGAAGTCGAGGAGGTTGGGCGAAGGGCAAATCCTTTGAGCAATTCCAACCCATCTCATCGCCGTTTTCCACCGTTCCACCGTCGTTGGTGGTGGACCGGGTTACACAGCAGGCGAGAAACGTCGTAATTGCTGAAATAATGGTCGTGCCTACGGCACGACGCAGCGAACAAAACGGTGGCGATTACGTTACCTTGAAATTCAATTCCGCTATTGTTCCTCACACGGAGAGGAACGGAATTCGAAGGAACTTTGATACTGTTTCGTAAGACCACGGTACTCCCCCCCCGGCAAACGCTCGCCGTAAGGAGTACGTCGTCTGGAAACAGTCGTGCAAATTCCTGGGGCGTAATATAATGCAATCAGTGTCGTGTACACTCGCATTATATGTATATCACCGTGCCACTTCGAAACATGGTAATGTCGGGCTTCTTTTTTTCTTTTCTTTACTACCCTTTTTGTTCTTTAAGATAAATTGTAATAACTGTGATCCGCATATTTCTCTTTGAGAGGGATTTATTTTTAAAATGTTGCGAAAGAGGTTTACATGCATGCTGTTTTCCTCTCCTTTATAAACATGTACATTTGCGTATAGCGAAGGCTTTACCTCTGCCGTTGTTGCTTATAAAAGCAGACTTAGAAACAGAAACAGAGGAATAGAAACAATGTGATAATAGAAATAACATGAATAAATTTATAATAATGCCCTTTCTAAAATAATTAATTCAATTTTAAAAAAAGTAATGATATAATTTTTCAGTAATTGCGAGTATCGTTTTCATTAGATTGATTTACGGAAAGCGGAATTGAGTTTCGGTCTTTTTTTTTAAGACTTTTTCCTTTCATTATATCAAATTCCTTTCATTAGCGAAACCACTGATGAACAATCATCAAAGTGCGCACACGCAATATTGCTATTAGCATCGCGCATACCGTGCCATTATTGGCTTGCTGCGCATCGATGTTTACCACTGTAAAACTTTGCTGAAAACGTGCAATCCAAATTCTGCCCTCATTTCATCCGCATTTTACCTCGTCGAAACAATTTTACGTATCGTAAATATCGGAGTACGTAAAATATGTCTCGACAAGTATATGATTTACTATATAATCCGCCAAAGTGTCTATTTTCAAGAAATACGAAACTGTGATCAATATATGAGTATAAATATGTATATTTGTAATACACAAATTTTTTATGTTTCACAAGTATAAAACTCAAGTATTAAAAGTTACAAGTATTAAACTCAAACATGTCACAGTTCAAAAATAATTTTCATTTCATGATATTTAATTTCTAAAATAAAAATTTACAGCTTTCAGCTTTATGCAGTTCTCTCTCCAAATTGAGAAAAATATGAACAGTAACAAGACAGTCTGCGCATTTATGAGAAAAATCTTTCAACATCCATTAATTTTTAATCTCTCAATCACTTTTCTTCGAGCGCCTAATATTTTGAAGAAAACAAATATCAGTTTTAAAGCAGAGCATATGGAGAAATTGGCTAAGAGAAGGCTATTACACCTGTGAGACGTCCATATTGCTGGCATTTATACCGCAACGTTACGCGCCCGAGGCATGAAAGCGACAATAAAGGAGGATTTGATTAGACTGTCGACGTTCTCCTATATCGCCCTCTCATTTCCTTTTCTGCGTTGTCTCATAGCCAGAGATGCGCGCCGCTATATCGCTCTCTGTATTCCTTAATTGGAAATTCAGCGGGGCGGCAAAATGAAGCTTTACATATATAGGGTTTACGTCGTGGAGTGTTGAACAAAAATGAATATAAATGTCTAACGTAACACGTGATATGTGCACTTTTCTAAATTACTTCTCATGTTTATATTAAAATACATAAAAGAGAGAAACAGAGAGAAATAGAAACATTGAGCCAGTTACAATTTTCGTTTTATGTTAAATGGTATCGAAAAATTATCTTTGTTTTTTTTACGTAATATATTTCTTATTTCTATTGATATAAGAGAAAAAGTTCAAAGCTTTACAATGGTTCTTTTTTATCTACAGAAATTATTGTAGGAAAATTTCTCTTATTACACTTTTTTGACAATAGCCATATGCTCTTCTATCTCCTTCGCACAATATTGGTTTCTAGCTGCGTACATGTAATGACCGAAAAATTGCAGTTGCGTTTACGCGGCGTAAATATTTGTGATAGAACGCCGTCTTTCTGTGACGCTCGTTTAATTGAAAAACTGCGGGGTGGATTTCGGGCGAGAGTGAAATTTACGCCACCGCCATCCTAATATGTATTCCGCCGGGATCGACCTGCCCCGAATAGAGAACGTCGTTTTCTTACTTTATGAAAGCGAAATAAATTTTACAAAGCGTAGAAAAAACGTGGCCGGCATTTCCAAGTCAATAAAAGCTTTTTACATACCGACGCTGTATCGATAATTTCCGTACAAATCAGGAAAACTCTCTTCCTCTCCGCGCTATAAAAAATATTTTATATTTTTCGAAGCGTCGCGGGAAAAGCGCAGGAAGGATCTCAAATCTAATGACATTTTTTTATATCTCTCCTCTATATGAAACATTCATTTCTTTCATTTCTCTTCAAATATTGCAGATGCAACGTACTTTCAATCTGTTTAATGGAGGAACATCTAGTCAAGCCTATTAACTAGCAGAGCATAACGGAATTCTTTATATCTTTATAATTAGTCGAGAAAGAAGTAAAAGCATGGAAAATATCACAGCAAATAACGAAAAATCATTCGAAAAGCATATGGAGTTTCTTTTCTTAATTCTCTTATCATCGATCTTATTTTGTTGTTAGCACCCGTAAATTGCTATCGATGTAGCAAACTACAAATGCTTTAATCTCTTCTCGAGATAGCGACTTTCGATTCACGACGTTGTACATTGCGGCGATTTTTCGTCGTCACGCGGAAAAGGGCGGCATGTCGCGAGCATCGCTGACGCGTTCGTCAGCCGTCGAAAGCTTCGTTTTCGGGTAAAGGCCCGTGGAAGGTTAATGGGCTTCACCGAAAATTGATGGGCGCCGTGCAGCCCGTGTGAAATACCGTACACCGCGCCGATCTTTTTTCCCTGCGCGCGCGCGCGCGCTCAGCTTTGCCTTTCATGAACGCTCGTTCCGGGAGGCGCGCGGGCCTTCGACCTTTTTATTTCACTTCCTACAACGGCAATCGCCAGGCGCGATTTTTCCTGAGAACATTCGCGAGACGCGCGCGGTCTTCCATCTTTACCGCGCCCCTCCGCCACGCGGGTTTCAGAAGCTCGACGCGGCGTCAAAATTCATCGGCTTTTTTCACGAGCCACCGGAATGCACTGAAGAAAAATGGGGAGAGCCGGCTTTCAAGCGCGCCGCGACGAACGCGCGCTTTGTAAACGTATCGATCTGCTCACTGTGATACGAGCAATTTAATCTTCTTACGTGTATCTAACCGTTTCAAAAGCTATTTGTATCTTCAAATCTAGGAGTACTGTTAGCGTCGTCCACTTGCGATTCATATGGACGTATATAGGTACGCGGATTAACAATGAGTGATCGACGGCTATAAACTATGATTGGTAGTATTGTTCCACGAACGCCAGACGCTTCGATGCAGGTCGACGACCATGGTAACGCGTATCAAAGGGCTAAACGTATAAATCAGCGTAAGCCACGCTTTAGCAGTCAATAAATCACATTTACTACATCGTAGCATTCTCTATGTGTGTGCAGATTCGCGACTACCTGGCCGCGCAAGGTATGGAGCCGCTGGAGGAGGAGATCCCACAGGAGGATATAATCGGTCGCGATTACTGCCGTTACAACATAAAGCGTTTGATGGCGCCTTAAGCTGTCGGAATCCTCTCGGCGAACGCCGCGAAACGTAACTCGCAAGCGGTCAAGTGATCGAAACGGAGAGATAAGTACAGAGGGAGAAAGAGATGGAGACTGAGAGAGAGAGAGAAAGAGAGAAAGAGAAATAGCAGGACAGAGAGAAGCGAGAGCAAAAGTTCACTGCCCCAGCGGGAGTAAAACTCACCCTTTATAACTTTACTCCTAAGTTCGCGACCCCTCGCATCTCCTAGAGACGACACGGTATCCGCTGCACATACAGATATGCACACACGTTCTCTCTCTCTCTCTCTTTCTCCCTCTTTTTCTCTCTATCTTATCGTTTTCGATCCTTCTCGACGTTACTCACGATTCTCATCTTTGTACGTAAGTAGGTAGATAAACTCGATTTCCGCCAGGGATGCCACAGCCGTGAAATGCGAGTGTTCGCAAAGGATATCGAGACGGTCAGTGGAAACGTCAGTACCGACTAAAGGCATGATGCCGTGAATAAAAATTGCAGTTAGATTGACCAGACATGTCGCTAAGTTCTCTCTAGAGATAAAGTAACATCTAACTTGCAAGTTTTACTTCCGTCTTTTAGCTTCTATCGCTCGATCTGCTTCATGCGTGTAAAATTTTCTGCGTTATAATTATCGCGCATCTGTTGTGCAATATGTATAATCTATGTTATATATTATACATGATCTTCTCTTATTACATATTAATTATTGTTACAATCGTTGGAGCAATATTCAGAACAATAATTCTCATTATAATTAATAAATATAATTAATATAATATTTTAACAACGCCAACTCGACGTCTCTCGAAGAAAAATTAGAACAGGATTGATTAAATTATGCCTAATTGCTTCTTTATAGACTTTTATAGATTAGAATGTTATTAAAAAAAAAAATTAATTTTAATTTAATCGACTTGCCTCACATTTGAAAAGATCGTCATATTTATTAACCGTGTCGCAGTCTAATCGATAATGAGCAATAATAATGGTGCACCGTGTATTAATAAAGCGATGGCCCATTAATTTGAAACTACCACGAGTAGTGCTATTGTAGTGCTATTGATTACTCGAACGAGCTATTGGTGAGCCATTGTACAATTTAATTACTTACCCTAGAAGCAAAATCAAATGTACGCTGTATGATGAAATGCATGCAGAATTACGCTAAGTGCGCTCGATAACACCAACGTGCAAGCTTTATATAGTAATTCAAATTAGTGTTCTTGTCCATCGTAATTTATTCGCTCATTTGAATCATTCAATTTATTTGCCTGTTTATACTACAAAGAACAACACTCGCCGTACAGTCGGGATCAAACATTTGGATAAATTTTAACAAATAAGAGAATACGATTTTGTAAAATGATTGAAAACCACTACGGTATCCGATTACAGTGTTGCGGTACTGATACATACACTCGTCATGCGATAGTGAAATGAGAAAGCGTGCCTCGCGTGCTTTCGTCGGTAAAAGAGCCAAATTGGCTGCAAGTCAAGCTGTTAATGCGGCTGGGAAATGACTAAAAGCGAAGGGCCGAAATATCCGAAACTAGCACGACGATGGAAACGAGGCGGAAACATGCACTTTATCACTGCGATACGAAGACCAACGCGTTTGTATAAAACGTTTAACAATTTAGCCACACGGGCATACTCGATGTTAAAATTTGTACTCAGCGATTTCCTCGTCGAAGCCGGAACCAAAAAACTGTCCTAGTCAATAATTATGCTATGTATACATCACGACCGATTACTTACGACGAAACTGTCGATTATTCAAGTACGAGTGAACGATCGTTGAGAATGTAAAATCGTGAACGAAAGAGAGACGCGTGCTTTTGCGTGTGTGTGTGTGTGTGTGTGTGTGTGTGTGTGTGTGCGTGCATTGTACATATGGTACCTGAAGTCGAAAAACATATTATTCCTCCAACACGTCAAGCCGGCCATGTTGGATCGGAGAATCAGGTCACCGAGTGTCCTCGATCCTTTTTAATCTAGACGCAAAGCGCACACGAAGTCGCGTCGATGGGTAGCTAAAAATTTAAAATCGTGTCTCGATTGTAACTCTCGCGGTATTTCTTTTTTTTTTCTTTTTCAAACCTGACCTTTCAACCTCGCCGACTGCGATTCCAGATGGTAGGCTTGACCAATCGTGATTCATCGGGGAGCTACGAATGGGGCTAATCGCGATGCAACTCTCTAACGACGTCGACTATTGTAAGTCGAGTACGTTGCTCGATAAAATGTAAGCCTTTCCTACGATTTTACACGGTCGAAGTTGACGTTGTATACACGTACATATACGTCGGCGCGTGTCGCGAATTGAATGATGAATTTTTTAAATTCTATACCGTAATTATACCGCACCGTCGTATGCGATTCCGATGAGTCGCAAGATATTTTCATCTCGTGCGGCTCTGCTTTCGCGTAAACTGTTTTGCACCTAAATTTTATCACAGCGGAGAGAGAGCTCGATGATTACATCGGGGCCTCGAATGAACGCATCGATTTCCCTTGTGCCACGACGATATGGTCGTTAATTCTCCATTGCGTGGCAAATTCTATTCCAACGCGAATCGTTTAAAAAAAATAGAGGAAAAATGTGTCGGAAACAATATTTGCAAATTACGTTTTTTATTTGAAATAAATAACAGAAATTTAATTATGTTTTTACCGGGCAATATTACGCTTTACGAAGGGTACGTGAACATATGTAAAATTTCAGATTTCATTTATTTCTATTGATGAAGGCAACACAATACAATCGAGAGTTAATCGAGTCGATCCCTTGCGCAGAACGTTCGACTAATTTAACGATTATTTTCATGCGAACAGAACGGGATCGACGAAACGCGAGTCTCGTAACTAATATCCTATAAGGTTTCGAAAGTTACTGGTATCTAAATAAATCCACGGCAAATCGGACGCCGTCGTTGCAAAAGCGACCGAGTCCTCATTTATTTCGGTCCTTCCCCACATCTCTCGGTAAGTATCATAGCATTAATAATTTGCATCTAACTTGTACTGACGATCTGCGGGTTACGATATTTTGCGAAAATTACGAATTCCAACCAAAAAAGTGTAAGAATATTAAAATAAATTATATTGAAAGATAAAAATTAATTATGCTAACATCAAATTTGATGATAATCAATTAACATTCAGTAAAAAAAACATATCTTCTTAAATCTCATATATTTCACAAAGACATAAAATCAATAATGTTAATATTATCAATAATTTGTCATTTGTGATTCTAGTGTCTCAAACGAATTTAATTTTCTTGGGCCATAATCTTATGAAGGGAACTAATTTATGTTCTTCCGTAGGAAACAAAAAAAATCGACGATTACCGAGCAAATTCACGTGTGAATGCGTGGTCATCGAGCGAGAACGGTGAGAAAATTGAAAAAAAAGAGCGGGAACGTCATATGCCCATAGATGAGCGGACGACTTTTCAAGGATAATTAATTTCCCGGTCATTCCCAGAACCCTAACGAGCTCGTTAAAAAGTTTCGACACGTTTAGACCCGGATTCGGCCATGGAAAAACCATTTAAGCTTCTTTTCACCGTCGGACTGCGGAGCTGAATGGACGACCGGTTTCTTCGCGCACCCCACGGCCACGTCTCGGAAGCAACTACTTTTTTCCCCCGTTTTCCAATGTCTACCTCGCGCCGTTACGACCCACCCTCTCTTGCACCCTATCTCAATCCCTCGTCTCGCCATCCGCTTCTTCGTCGTTTCACCTCGCATCCGTTCCCATCACCTCGGCAGCAGTTTTCAGCTTTTTCTTGCCGTCGTTTGGCTGACATTCCGCCGCAGAAACATGGAGAAGACACGAACGGGGATAGAGAGAAAGATAAAAAGGAGAAGAAAACTAGCCGTGAGTAAAGGAACGTTGCGGAAGGTGACGGAAACGAAGGGGCCACCACTGAGAGAGGGTCTCCGGCGAAGGTGGCGAGTACCAACCTCTGAGAGGAGCCCACTCTTTGTTTCGCCTCCCGGCGAGATATCGGCTAAGTTTACTTGGTGGAAACTCGACCTATAAATTTCATCCTTTAATACGGGAACGTATAATATGAAACCGTCGAGTTATACCTCGCGGCCGTTTTAAGAAACGCCTGACGGCGTTATTCACTCGGCCCGCTCGCGTTCCCCTGGACGGAATTTGTTGGATTTGCAAAAAGTTCGCGAACGATATTCCTGAGTGCTCCGCAAAGTGAGCACGAGGCGCGGAATAAAAAGAGGTCTTGAAGTTAAGAAAATTCTATAGCCGCATCCCTCGTGTACAGAGAGTGCGAGGCAGAAAGGGAGGAAGGGAAAAGAAAGCACGTGATGCATTATTTTACTTACACACGCTCGAGCTATCACTCTTAACCAGAAATAAGCTCAGGATGGCATATTCGCATTAAAAATTTGTTCCACATACAATATATAATGAATTGTTTAACTGATGAAAAAAATAATTGTATTAAAAGACCATTATTCGAAAACCCGCGTAATTATGCATGATTTCTAATAACTCGGATAAAATAAATATGAACTTTTATTATTCAAATAATACATAAATAATTTTGGATAAGGTAACGAATAATTGTTATATTTAAATATAAATGATTCAGATAGAAACAAAATTATCCGAATAATTAATCAGACAAACAATAGCGCTGGCTAAGTTATTTAAAATTATTCTAATCCTGCTTCATACGAAAATATCTCTTAAAGTATCTGTGTTTAAAAAATTTGCAAATTATAAATTTCACATGTATGATTCTAATTTATATCTCATTAATAAAAATGCAAACTTAATAATGGAATTATTATGTAGACACGATTTGTTGCACAATAGTTTCACTGGTTAACCAATGCGCTCTGTTTGAAACAGTTAAGCGCACGGAAAGCGCCTAAGGTGAACTAAGATCAGCTAGTCTCTCTCCTTAGGTGGATCAAGTATATCTCTCCGAAATTTCGGACTTGGAGCGATACAAATATGAGTCCTGAATCTCTACAGTGCCTCGAGGTGGCATCGTGAGATACCGGCAAACCTGTTCACTCTGTAGAGCGCGGCGATGGAATTAATGCCGCATTTGTATGAAATTTGGCCAACACTGGCTCAGAATTCGGCTTATACGATCAAGGAATCGTACCTTGTCGCGGTGGAAGCAGGTTTACGATTCGGTCAATCGTAAACCTTGATTGCTCGGTCCTGCTGAGAACCTTCGTCCCGCAATGTACATAACCGCCGTTGGTTATCGCGGAGGAGTAAGATATAGAGACCAACTCGTTGGTCGTTGAAGCTGACTCGTCCTCGTGAATATTATATACATCGTAACGTGATCAGTACAAGTATCCTCGACTTTATCTCGTTCGGCCTATCGTAACATTCATAGTCATCTTACGAAAGCAAATACGCGTCCCATCCATCAAGAACTAAAAAGACGAAAGATAGATCGATGTATAATTTAACTGCACTCATGCTAGCTAGAAATTTTTTATACCGAGGTAATATATCTAAATTAAATCATTAAAAATGGAAGAAATGACAGATTTCAAGAATTACGAGACGAATTTTATGAGTAACTTCAGGTAATTTAATTTTTTCCAACATGACAAATTTCCGATATTAAATAAGTGTAATCAAATTAAATTTCCATATATTAAAAGCCGATTCGAAATTTGAGAGGAAATAAGCTCGTGAGGCTCGACGAGTTTTATAAAATATGCTGTCTATAACCTGTTTAATTATTCAACGCGAGCTTTGCTATTCAAAAGATGAGACATCACGTATGGTCATGTATTCGTATACGTCGCTGCTTTATTTCCCCCGATAACTCCGATAACTCCGCTTTGTAAAACTTCATACATAAAGGAGAAACCGAAACTTCTCCGTAAGTCTATATAATTTCATACATAATTTATGCTGTGTATTCCATAAATAACCACGCGTGCACTTCCGTTGTAGACATTTATATGCGATATTTGCGTTCTTTGAGCATCAGCAGAATGCACCATGGAAAATGTTTTTAACGGACCAGTAGCCAAATACAATTCCGTTTATTTACCACTAAAAAAAACGTTTATCTTCGGTAACATTTGGAAAAAAATAAATTCAGTCTAGAGATATATCTTCCGCGACACGATTGACACTTTGATATATATGTGGGAAGCGTCAATTTTTCACGGTACCTATGCGAAGATAGATGCACGCGGAACACATCTCGATCCCTTCGACATCGAGAAATGGCCTACCTAAAATTTTGGGGTAAAATTTTCTTACAATAAAGTAAGTATAGGTCCATACAAAATCTTATATATAAAGGCTGATCGCACTGTATATAAAGATATGTTATTATTCAAATACAAGCTGCAACAATCTTGATATTTCTCGAAAGAGCTATTCTAGAAGAAACGGTTTATCTTCTAAATTTCTTTAACTTTGCCTAATGAGAATAATCTTAATTTTTCAATGTAAAAATGCAGTGTATCTCGCATTCCGCACACCACCTTGTTTGTAATATCTTCGTGAAAAAATTGTGGACATTAAAAGAACCACAGATTGGATGTCGTGATCTGCTTACGCGTAATACTGCTTAGAATAACCACAGCAACGCGATAATACCCGCGCGTATCATCCTTTCGAAGGCACATTTCTTTGAACAAATAAAGAAAAAAGAAGAAGAAAGAGAGGGTAAGAGAGACGTGAAAATGGAGTTTTCTCTCGTTTCTCAGCTCACGTTCTCGGGCTTTGCGCGTCGCTCACTTTGGAAAATAGCTTCCGTTTACTTATTCTTCTCTTTTCCGCTTTATCGACTATACGTCTACCGCGATCTCCTTAATAAGACAAACCTATCAATGTATTGGTGACTTGACAAAATCATCGTTCCTAGATTTAAAAATTTATCGCGAATTTGGAGTTAGTCCTTCCTTAGTAAAAATATCGAAAAAATTTATTATTTGTCGTAAATATTTAGCGTTACATATTTCAATAACTATAGGCCTTAATTAAAATCCTGTTAAGATTGTAAACTTTACTCGAAATTAACAAAAGATTTTTGAAGAAATAAGATTTAAATTAATAGCAAGTCTACATCTGAAAGAAGCTTAGCTCTACAAAAATTTCTTTTCTCAATCATGATTTGAAAGCTATTGGTAGCCTGACATTTTCACCGAAGGAAATTCTAGATTAATTCTCTAAATCAGAGAATCAAAATTAAAGTCGTAAGACTTTAATTACCCAGAATACGCTATGAATGCAAAGTGCAACGAACCATCTCGCAGCTCATAATTACGTTGCATCCGCTAAGCAAAAGGTACTGACCGAAAACATTTTCGAAGTATCGGAATAAATTTCGAGCGGCGAGAAAAGCCCGGGGTCGAGAGAGCGCAGGCCACAAGTATTTCCTCGCTCCGCCGGATAGCCATATTTTTTCTCCTTATTTCCGCATCCCCAAACGTGACCGCTATTTTTTCACGCCGCAATGCTACACTTTATGAACTCTGCGCCCGACACGTTCGTCCGTCCATCTGTCCGTTCATCCATCCAGCAAGAACACGCGTTTCCCGCGGCAACGAAATTGAATGTCCGCGGTTTATGACGCACGGAATTGCGTATCGTTAACTGTCGGCGCAAAAGGTGGGTATATGTACATGGGCACATCGCTAGTTTTTTTACGATCCGTGCTAATGCTCCTCGCAGAACATCTACGAGGGCCTGAATGAGCTTCGAATGAGATCCGTCGAGAACAACGCGGAAAATGCTGCGGGCAATTATGCGCTCAACGCGAGAAAGATTTTTATGTCTTTTTAATTCTACAAATGTAACGCGGAATATTATGTATAAAATGTACAAATATGTCTGGTTATTTATATCAGCTACAATTTAAGGAAACAATTTAAAAATGTTTAAATTAGATATCTTTCACTAAAATTTTAATTTAATAAACGTAATAGCATTACTAGATATACATATAATTACACGATATAATTTATCAGGAAGAATCGACTCATATAACGTCTCTTATCCAGAAAATAGTTATTTTGTACTCAGGCACACAACGTGTAGAATATATCATCTCCGGACACTGTCACAACTAAGGCCATCGTGCCAGGAAGTACATTATGTACCTACTATACAGCCAGCTTAATAACAATGCGAAGCACTTGGTTCTTTGCTCGGTACTTTAGTACAATTTGATATTTACGGAGCAATATTTCAACTTTACACTCCGCCTAACACGCTGATTTATTGCGACCATGGCGAGAAAAACGAGAGAGAGATGAGTTTTCTTTTCTCTTTTGTTTCCACTTCCGCTTTATACATGTACCAGCAAGATTTTCCTACGTTTGTGAGGAACGTGGTAAAAATCGATATTTCTTTCTTAATAGGAAGGTAAAGTCTGATTCTACGTGCGTTGTGGTTAGACGGTGATTTATGGACATGGACGTGATATTTGGCAAAAATTTTATTCGAGCTACGTATACGAATTTAATCCTCGCATTTTCACGTTACCTGTCATTTCGTTCGTATCAATGGCAGCTTTCGAAAAAAAAACAGAATATTTTGTGCAAAAATCGCTTCGAAACATTTCCAGTAATAACAAAATATCACAAAGCTAAATATCTGAATAAACCGATTCCGCACACTTACCCTCCATAAGCTACTAAGTGAGCAAAAAAAAAACAGTAATTCGCCTGAGGATCGAAAAATAGAAAATATCATTAAATCAGTATTCCGTACAGGGATTATGCTCTTATTCGTGACGTTCAGTTCAATCGATGCCAACGTTTATAACATCGTTATCGTCGCAATTATTACTACACGGCAATATTAAGCTCGTTACTGCTCGAGTTGATTAAAAGCTTCGAGCCAAATTGCGTAACAAAATTCGTTTCAAATTTCCGAATGTAATCGCGATAACGGCGATATCGAATTCATCAATTTTTTCTTCTTTTCAACGAACCGCCGAGCGAACGCAAGAGATGATATCGTCTATGGACGCATCCGCAATCTACGTAAACGGGAGCGGAGATTTCACGGTCCGATATATATCCCACGTCAAAATATGCAAATTCCCATTGCGCAAAACCACGGCATCGCAGTGTTCAAGATGCGGTTTCGAAATAACGCCGGATATGCATTCTTTGCGCGCGAGCCAGAAAAAAGATTTCACGTTTCGCTAATCGGGCGATCCTTACGCGGTGCAAATGTTTTTTAAGTAATTCAAAAGATTTGAGAAATTTTTATATTTAATTCTCATGCAGGAAACTCGGGAAAGGACGGTGAACGTCAACAGGCCTATTTTTCATCGAAAAATATTGGTTTTATTTGACTATCAGACTCTTTCGTACACATATATGAATCAACCTGTGTAATGGCGTTAATTTGTACAAAACGATGATTTCTCTGCAGTACAAGAATACCACGCGTTGATAAAGTTCAAACGAATCGGTGAACGGTCAACGAGGAGATCTCGCAACGACGCCCTTCAAACAGACAATACTGAATATAGACTTTGACATACAACGACCGTTTTTTTTTTCCCTTCGAGGCGTAACAGTAATATATCTATAATTACTTTCTTACATCGCAACAATCATACAAGGGAGGTACATTCCAAGCGTGAGGCCGTAGAACAACCGACCGATGGTCTTAATCAATAAAAAAACATGCGTCAACGTAACGAGAGTCGCGATAACAAAATGTACGTATAAAAAAGGTAACACGGTGAGGTAACGAGATAAATCGGGGATAACAATCCCGCCGTTTGGGAGAGAATCGGGAGAAAAACAGAGGGAAGAACTTCACTATTCGCATAAGAAATTCTCGAAAAAGGTCGGAAGATTCCCTTCTCGCGGTTCATTCAGTGGATCAATCGCGGTATAGAAAACGCCTAAGGTATAAATTCTTAAAGGAGAAAATTTCAGATTCGCCAGCCAATTATTTCCTATTGCCTCGAAGAACAGTAAAAGAGAAAGAGAGATAAGAGAAGACGGAAAGAAAGCTCGACTACGAGGGGGGTTTCGATCGGAGGAACAAGATAGATGGAACGGCTCGATCCACGTGACTTTCTTATTCCTCGCCTCCTTGGCCGCTTAGTTGCTGCTGGGTAGTTCCCGCTTCAGCGAGCCGTGTTCCTCCAGCATCGCCTGAAGTCCATCGGGGACTCGACCGGCGTCCAATTCCTGAGTCCACTGACGATACTGTAGAAAAATAACAAACAGTGGTGTGTAAAGTACGTTTATTCCGTCTCTCGGTCCTGTCTTGTTCGTACTAAACCGTCGTGCGCTGGAGATCTTCAGTGGAATCAGGAGGATTTGGGAACAGCATCGTGGATACACAGGAATGCCGGACTTGTCGGGATTTTTCAACCGCTCCTCTTACTCGCAATACTCGGCAGCTTAATCGATATAAGAACCTCGAAGCATCGATGTCAGATATTCTCAAAGCACCTTGTTAACGAATATTCCGTAAGAAGACAAGATAAATAAAACCCAATTAGTATTTAATAAACAAATAATTTTTTATTTTAAGCTTCTTAGCAAGGCCTTTGTCCTTTATTATTCTATTGTCCTGCCGTTGTTGAATTTCACTCAGATTTATTTCTGTGGAGCGTAATCGAACAAAGTGAATGCTAATTTTTATATAAAACCACGGAAATTATTTGTACGAAATATTTCCTACTATAGAGACCCATAAGAATAAAAATTTACGACAAACGACCGCGTGAAGTACTCAAATAATTCTAACAAATACGAGTGCTTTTCTGCAAAAACAAAGCAATGAAGATGCGAATAAATACTCCTATAGTCGCATTGCTAAAGAGCGAACCTTTGTATTCCGCCAGAACTTTACACTTTTGCGAGTAACTTAGTTTGCACTTCGAAGAAAGGTTTAAGGAAGACGATAAGGAAGACGATGAGAAAGGCAATGGAAAAGAAAAAGTTACGAGGTTCTCCAGCTTCCGAAGAATTTGCTTTGCTTTACGTTCGAGATACAACTAATTCAGGCAACTTTAAGACATATTTTCTTCTAAAAAAAAAAGGAAGAAATCTTCCTTCGATATTATAAGCTTTATATATATTTTATTCGATTAATACAATATTAAAGAACATAATCAAAAATTAAGATATGCATAAATCTTTAGATATGTTTGATTTCTTATAAACAATAATTTGTATAAATATATACAACGCTTCAGACACTATTACAGTGTCATTCCTTATAAATTGTGAAGATTGCTGTTGTAATAAAAATTATATGGTAATAATTTTCAAACTATTGAAACTGATAAACTTTCCGCGAATTAAATATCAGAATAAATATTGGAACACATTATCCATCGTTTAACTTAAAGTGCATTTTACTTCGATAAAATATCGACATTTATATTTAAGAAAGAAGGTCAGTTACTAAAACAGAAATATCGAAATGTGAAAGTGAAAAATTTTCCTCGATACTTTCGTTAAAGAAAGAATTGCATTCAAGTTTTACGAAGAACAGCATATCTTCACTTTCCGCTAATTATTATAGAATACCCTAACAAATTAAGTCGCAATTTTATAAGCCGCAATGCATTACGAGCATTTGTCTTTTTATTCGGCACGCAACTTATTCGTCATAATACGTTCGTTTATTCTTAAAGAAGAAAATTCTAGAGTCTTTTCTACTCTCCATTTTCGTTTGTTCGTTCGTTTATGGAAGGGTTAAGAATATGACTTACCATCTCGAGCTCTTTCCGCAGAGCAAGCACCGCCTTTTCTCGGTCGGCCACGAGCTCCTCCAGGTACTGATACCTCAGCTTCTTGCGAGCACGGCACTCCCTCGCACTCTGCCGGCTTCGTTCTATAACAGAATAGCAAACGAAGAGGGTGAGAAAACGCGGATCCATATCAATACGAGGAATCAATGCATGCAAAGCGTGGCTCAATCCTCGGGACGAAAGTTTCGAGCCCGAATTCGCGCCGAGCATAAATTTCCCCGGTTTTCGGCGTCAGGTTGTGACGTAACGGCAAACCAAGTGACAGATATATATATATCACGAGCTCTACAAGAATTCACGATTTAATAATGTCGCCGAACGCGCAAGACGCATGGTAATGCCCCGCGGCATATGCGACCGAAAAGCGGAAACTTTTACGAAGACGGACGGTGTGTTACGGTAAGCTATGATTTTGTTCGAACGTAGGGAGGAAAATAAACGTGTCGCATGTCGGATGTCGGAGCGAAATCGAAGCTCGATGAAATGCGAAGCCGATTTAAATAACGACGTCGTTGCAATCTGAAATCTGTAATATTCAAATCCTCGAATCCTATACGGTTTTAGAATTTTATCGGATCGTCGATTTCTGTGCGTTTTATATTCCAAAATTTTCTGCGAGCATTGCGATTCTCGAATTCCGAAAGTCTTCCCGAGATTCTTGCATTCTAAGGCCTGTATTTTATTTCTTTATAGTCACGTTTCTCTGCTGAAGAACTCACAATCAGCCGAAACTAGTCGTCGAACAACACGATGTGATTTAATAAATAGACACCCCAAGAATCGACTTAATTTAATTTAAACACTCGTTACGTCATATCTATATTCTAAGTAATAGTATAGTAAGTTAACTTACATAACTATATTTTCAGTTTAATAAGATAGATTTAATTTAAAAAAAAAGTTAATTTAATGCGCTACAATAGCTCGACCATCGAAATTCATTCGAGATACAGGAACAGAATATTTGGTACACGTTTATTTCATTTGTTTCATAACGCGTTAATTGTAAAATAATTTGCAGCGATGCATCGGTTATTATGCCTGTTTTGAACATAACGGCCAGCGCTGTTTGTTTCCGAAAGGTCGCGCGCGGGTATTAAAACTCGGTAAGGCACACAGCGGCGCGAGCCGCGTGCCGACGCATTATCTTTCGAGATGTAAGCACGCCAAGTAGTCCAAACACGATCGTTTCCTACCTAGCGATTATCGGATCATGTAATTATATTAAATCTTGCATTTAACGACCCGTAGATATATCGAGGCGGTTACTTAGCGAAACGATTCTCGAAGCAAAACTTAATACGGATGTAAATTGAATAAAACGCGGAAAACACGAATTGCCGGATTTACTAATACTCGAGTAATGAAAGAATGCGATGTATTAATTAATTTTTTAACTTCACGTTGTGCGTTTTGTGGGACTTACGCGTTCGAAATGAATGGCGTATATGCGATTACTAAATTTCTCGCGATTGCGGTGTGGAGAAGATAGCTTTTGCCATCCTTTCGCGTTATTCTTTCATCGGAATACAATAAATCGCGCGTCGCGTACAATTAATGTCGGGAGTGCCGGACAAAGTATCGCACGACCGTTATATTTTGACGGCTACTGTGCGCACGATTGTAATTAATCGTGTTTTCGCGGGTGTTGTATTGTGTAAATGCAATGAAAAGAGTCTGAGAGGAGGAGGAGGCCTAGGAAAGGCATCGGGTGACGGCAGAGCGGCCACAAGGTAATCAATCTGTTATTTATTTATTTATTTGGGTTAAGTTATTAAAATAAGAATTAGAAGAAAGACCCTCAGTCGTGAATACTTGCAAAGAAATATATATAATTTCGAAATATCTGTTTTGAAGCCTGAGAATTCAGTATGCGCAATATTTTTTTAAAATAGCAATTATTTTGAAGGCTGCTATATATAATTTGGATTTTATATTTATATTTAGCAGATCGATGCAGGCGCAACGTAATTACGACAAGTCTGCCGTTATCGGTAAGTGACAATTAACGCTTTCAATTTGAAATAATGGATCTATGAAAATTGTATCGTAAAATATTTCTATATGTATATAAAAGGATAAGAATACTGTTCAGAATAATAAGAATGATAATTCAGATAATTTCATAGGTTCATTGTTTGAAGATTGGATAGGCTAGAATAAATTAAGATAAATAAATATTTACGAATTTATAAAAGAGAGTTCGATATGTTAATGCGTTACTTAATTATTGGCACATTTTAATCTTTTACTACATGACTGAATATTAATTAAGAGATATATTAATTGTTTGATATTTATACAGCAAATTCATAAATATTTGCCAAACATTTTAGAGAGGCAAAATTTTCGGGAAATACAATTGAAAACATAATGAATATAATATATTAATGTTATAATTTAGGTAATGTATTTTAGTATCAAAATAAATATTAAATAAATTTTGAATTTATTGCTTTCGTAAATAGTAAAAAATAAAGAAAATGAGAAGGTAGTAAAATAAAACTAAACAAGTGAAGATATTTTTGGAATATAAAATTCTTATCTGAATTTCTTCATGGTGCTTGTATATCATGAACAATAATGAATAGAAGATATTTATGTGTTATTTTTACAACATGATAAATAAAAATAGATATCCGTAGAATATGGTAGCAAAAAAACTGTATTTAGTTGTAGGGATGTTTTATTTTTCTTCTCATCTTTTCCACAAACATATCTTTACTAAAATTTAAGGTCTGCACGTTTGGCCTCTGTGTTATTCCTTTTCAGAATAAAAGATATGTTATATTGACGTAAGAAAGCAGTACTCGGGGATTCTTTCAATATATATCTCAAATAAATATATAAAAAAAGTATACACGAAATACATTACAGTCCCACAACATCCAATTAAATTGTTAAATAAAAATGCACATTAATAATTATAAGCTATACTTATTTAATATACATATTATAATACATCAATTTTATACTAATCTATCCTAGCCTATATATCTATTTATTGCTAACTTAATTTTATATCACTTTATATCAATTAAAGCAGCATGAAATAATGAAATGATGTGAGGTACATTACTTACGTCGCGTATGTGACATTTCGCGAAATGTCTTGGAAAAACTGTATATTGTTTTAATGATATCAAGCTATATTTGAATAATCGTGTCGCCTCAGCTATGTACACAGTCTCAGTTGATTTCTAATCAAAATAAGATTAATCGCGTCTTTATTATAAATATATCTTTCCTCTTTCTCTCTGATACGTTTTTAAGACTAAAAATACGGACTAAAATTCTCGCATTCAAGCACAAGATTTCAAGATTTGTAGCTTCGATTTGTAGATTCAAATTGATTTTTCGATTGCGAGAGAACTGTTACAGACTTTAAAGTTTCCACGCGTTATCAGATTGTTAAATAGTTTCACAAATGGCAAATGTCCTTTCGCGAGAATCATTGCGCGTTTAGGTATAATAAACGTCTTTTAGGATCGAGGTCCGCGAACGCGCTATCGTTCACGGCTCGCCAGACTTGCTTTTTACGCGGCAATAAACGTCACTCGTTTCACTGCGGACCTTTAAGGGTGACCAAGCCGCCGGCGAATTTTTGCAGTCCGTAAAGCATCGATCGGTCCAGCGCCGTAAATATTATCGGAAAGAGATTCGTCGATGTCGATTGAAGCTGACGCGCGATCGGTGTCGCGCCTGGAAGATCGATACCGGCGCATCGCGGAAATTAAGCGTTCTCGCACAGTCAATTTGTGGCTCCATTTAGGATCTCATTGCAACGGCCGACATCTGGACCAAATCGAGGCGAAACTCGGACGGATTTAAATAAAAGCCGCTTCCGTACGGAGTAAAATGGAGAGTTCGTTCGTTCGCGTGGCCAAGAACGATGCGAAAAAGACTCACGCGCAATTTCCGCCGATATGTAGGTCGTCTCGAATCCGCGGGACATCTTTTTAACGACAGACAGGAGACAAGCTGAAGAAAATACGTTGTTTTAATCCTTTAATGAAGCGCGACCGCTAAATCGACCGTTGCACGGAAGATCCAACAAAAACAGCGAATAGACGGCGATTGAAAATTCAAGTTTTCAGAGTGATACTTTTTCAGGTTAACAACTTTTTAACGGAAAGATAAATTCACATAGAACTCTGAAAATTAATGTTTTATATAAGGAATTAATGTTTATGAAATTATAAATTAAATTTGGAAGTTTCAGTTTTAAATAATCAAGGTAGAATATTTTGCAACACATTGCTGTACTGTAAATTTTAAATATGATTTAATTTTCAATCCATATACATTAAAACTTAATGCAAGTAATAATTAGCCGCAAAGTTTTAGCTACTGATTGAGAATTATTTGTACCTGGGAAAATATCAGACGGATTTGAATGGCATGCGTTCCGGAAAAGAGGCCGCATCGCCGTCGGAAAAAACCGTAGGCGACGGCGAAACAAAAGGGAGAACGAAATAGCGCGCGTTAGGCGATTATAAAGTTTCCCCGTTCCCGAATGAGAAGATCACGCGCGTTCCAGAAATAACCCCGCGAAATTACTCGGTGCTGGTCCATGCAACAGCCATCAGCGCGGCGGGTTAGCTTCTCACCCAACCGCGCTCCTTCTATCTTGCGCCTTTCTCTTCCCGCTTTTGTTACCCCGAGGAACTCCGCGGCGACGAAATGGCGGAATTGCAAAATAGCCGAACGATAACCATACGGTGAAAGCGTGCCTGGTAATCCTCGTTCGCCGCGGTATATCGAGAAACCGCTGCGGGGGTGGCCTAGATATAAATATTCATTCGCAAAAGAGATAAACGTTCCTAACGGCGATTCGCACCGTTTCGTACAACCTTTTCGGCGTTCGGAACGAACAACCGCAAACCGAAAGTTTCGCGCAATCAGTGGATACGCGATTCCCTCCTCGCGGGAAAGACGCGCTGTTGCTGCCACTATATATCGAACGTTTTAATCGAGAGACGCGACGGACGTCGACATGAGTACGGACGTAAAGCCAGAGAGCACAGGGAATGGCCGATATCTGCCACATCCGTTTCATTGTCTCGTAGAATGTGCGCTATCTTTCTATTTTACGCGCGTTTTCGCACCTTGGATTAAAGAGACGTTGACGAGTTGAGAAGCCGTATAGATAAAGTCAAGCTACTGACCGATATCCACTCGTGTCCACGTTACTATTCCCTTGATCACCGTCCTTATTACTTTTAACGCGCACTTTTGCCTCTCTGATTTACGAAAAGCATTCTTTTCCTGACAAACTAACAATTCAAAAATATATAATAGCGCATTCGTATAAAATAATAATTTCCAGTTGCTATCAAGCAGCATTTAATCGATATGTTCGCTGTATAATTTATTATATTGTCTATACAGCCTATTAAAGTATCGAACAACAGAGGTGGGCAAAATGTAATCGAATCGATAATTGATTGTTGTATTTTAAATAAGCAATTGCTTATAATTTACAACAAAATATTAATCAATATTCGATTATTATTGACAAATAAATCATAAAAATAATCATTGATCGCAGTTAAATTATCAGTCATTTATCGTAGAATAATTATATTTTTATTACAATTAAATAACATATGTTATATATACTACCGAAGAGATTATAATAAAGACAATAACTTCGTTTCATTTTCTGATTATTAGATAGTAATTAATGAGTAATGATGACAGACCGTCGATGCAATTTATATTTATGCATTATTTAATAATAGATTTCAATGATAATTACTTAATTACTGATTCCAAATTATTTCACTAATCGAATTGCGAAAACAATCAATTGCATTGTCGCACAGTTTCATCGTACAAGTGCGAATCGTAAAAAAACAATTTTAGTTCTAATCGCAACAATTTACCACCGATAAAATCGTATTGTTACAAGCGTAACGGCAGCGAAGCGAAATGTTGAAGCAGATGTCTAGGATGTCAACAAGTATCCTTCATGTAGCTACTTACCGAGCTTAGCTTTCATGTCCGCCTTCTCCGCCGCCTTCCTTCCAGGCTTGCGTCCCCTCTTGCCCCCCTCTTTCCGATCACCGCGAGATCCCTCCTGTAAATGAAAAGACATGATGGTTAATCGCGGAAAAATTCGTCATCTGATGGGGTAAATATTAATGAGCTACGAGCGAATCGTCGCACGCTTTCTCCTCTCTGTCACGAACGAGATATCGGGCGTCAAAATACAGGAATTAGCTGCTCGTTAAAACCAATCCATTTTGCACCTGCGGCTTTGCCGCACCGATTATTGGCTTTTGCCGACTATGGAGAGATTGGTGAATAATCATATCGTGGATGTATTTGCGTGATGATGACAAATCTTACGCGAGAAGCCGAGATGGCATTAAAAATTGACGCGTTACAAAACGCACGGCTGGATTATTACGCAGCCTACCGAAACGAAAGCGTACGCGCGCGTCATGAATAATTCGCCGCGGGGTAATTTACGATTCAATCGGGCCGCGGTCTCACGTACGCGCGCACACGCGGCCACCATAATACCGCTTGATCCGCGCCGGAGTTTCGCCCCGATTAATATCTTGAGCGAGATACGGCGGTGTCGTTTTCAATGGAAACAAAAGCTCATTGTGTCGCCGAGGAGAGGGATCGAGCCTGGGGGAAGGTCCGCTCCGGTGAAAAGCTCGGGGGATGAAATCGTCTCCTCCGCCACGAAGATCTCCTCCCCCTGATCGTAAACGCGAAATGAGCAAGAGCTCTCGCAGAGTTCACGATATATCCCTTTTTCCCACGGCCACAAAAGTGCAATGAGCGTTATTCAATTTCTCGCGGACACGCAACCGAACGATGCCTAATAAACGTCCGCTTTGCCGGCGACACAGTTACTCAGCTTTGAGTTTTATAGTCCTCGTAACCCAGTCCGTCAGATGAAATCGAGCGAAAGACCAGACGTGAACGAGACAGCCACGTTTATTTTCAAGACTTACACACGAGAAAAATCGAGATACTCTAAGGAACGTCATTTTATTATTGCCTACATATATTTCAAGACTTTATTCTTTTCACTGATGCTTATCCCTTGTGAAATTTGGAATTGACCTTTATTAGAAAACTTATTCTTAATATATAATATTTAAACGTATTCTTTGCATGCTGGAAATTGGATATAAAATAACATATCCTTAATTGCAAGATGTATTACTTACAAAGAGACTAACAATAAGAATTAATTTGCAAGCCGCGTTCTTTGATGGTATATGGATTCTCTACGAACTTGACGCTTCATATACGTATCATACGAGACGGAGTCACCGTATCGCGAGGTCGTTCCTACCCATTTCCGTTGTCCCAAGAATATTATTTATGCAAAGCATACGTTTGTCGCGCGTACAAACCGCCCAGAGTCAAACAAACGAGTGACGCGCATACATTTTCGCGAAATGCATTTTCGCACGGTTCTCATTTCGTCCCGTGGCGAAAAACGGGCGACCGCGCGCGAAAACGATTTCAACGTGGAATAATTACCTGGAGGAACAATTTCGCAGCCTTGGGAGCATGGGGAACGATACGCGGACCGCGACACGCGCCAGATAGAACGCGCTCACCATCTTCGTCGACGAGCCATTAAAATTTACACGCCCCTCGGGCGCGGTTGTTGCATACCGCGGCCTTTAGGTATGCATACGCGCTCAGAAGTGACAAAATACAAATTTCGCCCCTTTTAGGGCCGCTGTTTACCGTTACGACCTGTCCGTACCGCTCAATCTTATCTGGTATTAAATCTCCCCGAATCCCGTTTCTTTCTCCCTCGAGTACTTCCGGGTTTTTTTAACCGGCTCTAACCAACCTCTTGTTAGCCACCGAGCCCTTCCTTTCTCCGTTCCACAACCCCTTTTTCCCTACGTGTATTTTGTGAGATAATTGGAATTGATTTCCGCATACAAAAAAATATAGAAACGTCATAACTTCGAAATCTCGTGCAGAGAATTACGCAACGGTCTGTAAATCGAGAACGTACCGTACGCAAATAGAGGATTGTTCGCGGCCGCATTTTACGGTTCGTAGTATTGCACTGACGAGACAAACGATATGGATGTAAACATCTCGTTAACAAATGTAACATATCTTTCATAATATTCCAGGAATATTGAGTTATCTGTCAGCAATATATTTTTTTGAACTGCTTTGTTTACAATAAAAATCTATGTGCTAATTAAATAATAAAACTGAGATTCTCTCAGAATTTCGAACTAAAAAGTTTTTATAATTTAACTTTAAAATGCAGATAGATTATTTTTCAATTAATTTTAAATAAACTTGACTTTTTTAAACAAAAATATAATAAATTTAATAATCGTAAATGAATGTTTTTAAAAAACTTTTAACTTTTAATAAAAGGCGATCTGTTCCGAAACACTTCATATTTGACACAGAATTATGTAAGTTCAAATTGCTTTTCTCTTTTTTAACATTTCAAAGAATAGAATTTTTTAAAGTTACAAGGTATGAGAGAACGCACGTTACATTAATTGCAAATTGTGACCAGGCAGAAATAATTAAAACATTACGAAGCACTAACATTACGCGAGAGCAAGTTCAAAATTAGTATGATAAACCGACGAATGTTTCTACCGCGTGAAATCGTATCTCCGTCATAGAACACAGAAGATCCGCGGCTGCAAACCCTTTTGGAATCTGCCAGACAATTTACTAACATTGACATTTCCGTCTACTTCCTTGTCCTCACCGTGCCGCAGACTCGCATATTCCAACCACAAATGCGCCTGCGAGCGCACAGACTCTAATTCCGAATTCCGACTCCTTCTCCTGCATACGACAGCCCATTGACGACGACTTGCTCGATCTACCCGATCAACGAAGAAACAATCCATCCGTTTCAGGACTCGATAATCGTCATTTACTATGCTCGATCGTCGCGGAGAGTAAGGGTATATCCACACAATCTTGCATAGGTGCATAAGCATATGCGTAAGAAAATGGATTGGTCTATTTTTTTTATGCACATGTATATGGACCAATCAATTTTCTTATATATGCTTATGTTTATATGCTATGCAAGATTGTCTGAATAGACTCTAAGTACGAACGCGTGTATAATGCAACAGCAAACACGATATCAATAGAATATTATGCCGGAAAATTTTCATAAATTATATCCGACATTATCAACTCGCCTTTTATTACGTCTCTTTGCAAATTATATAATTATATAATTAATATAGAATGTATTTTCACGTCAAACATGAAGAATTTGAAAACAAAAAATAAATGGAGTATTAAATATAAAATAATATTCAAGACTCTGTGAAATTTAACTCGCATCCTCATCAAAATGGGGTATGTCGTTCTCTGTTTTAAAATAGCAGAGATGCAATCCAAAATTGGTTTATTGAAGATAAAGCAATTTTACAGAATTATCGGAATTAAAGTGTTATTTGTAATATACATACATGCGTTCTTTAATTGACAGTCTGGGTGAAATTTGCATTTAATTATTGAACATCGCGTTTGATTGATGTAGTATCATGTAATAACAATATGTAATAAATCTCGCATACTTCTTTTTCCGTTCACGTGCAAACGAGGGAGCCTAATAGCACCGAACTATCATTTCATAGCGATTTTAACGGTCGTCACAACTATCGGAGGTGAAATGTAAGATCCCGTCGTCGCGCGAATGTAAAATTTTATGATATTTTTCTCTGACATTTCTCGTCGTTATCAGCGAAAACATGCGAGGCAATGTTTCTCGTTTAAAAAGTAATTTCAGTTATCTAAAACTCGATTACTGAATGTCGTTACAGAAAATTGAACATGGTCCTACCAGCAGAACGCGAGTTTCCGTAAAGGCAATACTCGTTTTAATTTTTCTAATTTGCATTTGCATGAGAAAAAAATCTGTTAGC